GAGAGGGAATCAAAACTGCAGGTTGAGAAGATTTTGGTACAAAAAGACCTCGTAGTGTCTCAAAGTGAAGCAGACAAAGCAAAAATTGAAAAGCATCAAAATGAAGTGAAGAGACTGGAGTTTGAGATATCTCGAAAGGTTGACGATATTGGCTTGAAGAACAATGAGCTTGTGAGAGAAAAAGCCAAGTCCAGACGTTTGGAGAACAAGATCGACGTTATGGAAAAGCAGTTTGATAAGACAGAGCAGGAATATAAAAATATGTTGAAGAAATTTTCAAAAACTCCAACGGAGGAATGCATTGATAAAACTAAGCAGGAGTCAATAGCAAGGCTCAAGTTATGTGAAGGTGTATTACTTCAGGAAAAACTGAAAGCCAGGACATTAGTAAAACGTCTGTTGAGAAAAGAACGCCAGGTGAGGCAACTTGCAAAGGAGAAGGCTGAGATGCGCGCCAAGGTCTTAGCCTTACAACGACAGCGACAGCTCGAGGCCGCGGCTGCGAAAAAAAGTTTTGACCACACACAACCTGACTGGAAAGAGCTGCAGAAAGAAATCAAATCCTTAAATTGTGAGATAGAGGTACTAAGGGAGAACAGGGAGAGGGATCAAGAGTACATTAAGGAAGTCACCGAAGAAGTAAATAAGGTGAAAAAAATGTACCTCAATGAGAAAATGAATAATGAGAATTTGAAGGAAAACAAAAAGCGCAAAGGGGCTAAGGTGAAAGATGATATTGCTGGGAAAGCACCTAAAAATGACAGCAAAGTTGAAACACAAACCCACAATAAACAAGTCAAATTTCTACCACCCATTGATGAATCAACTCTCCAGCTACCCAAAACAAAGTCAGTTCGTTATCAAAGAACTTTGCTTCTGGGTGAAGGCAAGTTAATGCCAGATTTTAAAGAAGGCAATCTTTTAACACAAGAAAAGTTAAAGCAGTTTAAGCCAACGACCCCTCGCGAAAGCAAGCCTGAAACGCCATCATTTAGACAAGCAGGCAGGAAGCATTTTCTCAGGGAAACTGAGCGGAGAAAAGACAGTGGGTAACCTACCATTCTCACAGAGAACAATAAAGTTACCTTTTTAAAGGTTAAAGGCAACAACATATCACGAGGTGCGTTTGTGACCATAACAGCTTTAACTCATGGAGCCCAGGCAGACATAGCCAAAGAGGAGACGCGATTCCCTCTTCACACGGGCTCACCAGATGACAAGATCCAGGACACAATCGAAGGACTGTTGCTCAGCTGATCTGTGAACTCCATGACAAAGTGGCTGAGGAGAGGGAATCCGAAGCAGATGGAGAAGCAGAAGATGGATAATGGATAAATGGACGCACACCATTTAAAGGAGTGTGTCCTTTAAATGGACACACTCTTTAAATTAAATGCAAAGGTTTTCTCTGGGTGCTCCAGTTTTTCCTACCTTCGGGGACAAAAGTGACCAGGCTAATTGGTGTCTTCCAGTAACTGTGAGTGCATCAGCGCCCCCCTCGTTACTCATTACATCAGGGGCCTGAATGTGTTCTTTAAGGTCATGGCCTTTCGTATGCTGACCACCAAGGAAGTTCTGCAGGCATCCTTGCAAAACTATGGAGTGCAGATCTCCATCGTGAGCGTGCAGATGATCTCAGGGATCTGCACTTTGGAGTGCAGCAGATCTCAAGGATCTGCATTTTGAAGTGCAGCAGATCTCAGGGATCTGCATTTGGAGTGCAGCAGATCTCAGGGATCTGCACTCTGGAGTGCAGCAGATCTCAAGGATCTGCATTTTGAAGTGCAGCAGATCTCAAGGATCTGCACTTTGGAGTGCAGCAGATCTCAGGGATCTGCACTCTGGAGTGCAGCAGATCTCAGGGAGGGATCTGCACTCTGGAGTGCAGCAGATCTCAGGGAGGGATCTGCACTCTGGAGTGCAGCAGTTCTCAGGGAGGGATCTGCATTCTGAAGTGCAGCAGATCTCAGGGATCTGCACTATGAGTGCAGCAGATCTCAGAGATCTGCACTCTGAAGTGCAGCAGATCTCAGGGAGGGATCTGCACTCTGAAGTGCAGCAGATCTCAGGGATCTACACTCTGGAGTGCAGCAGATCTCAGGGAGGGATCTGCACTCTGGAGTGCAGCAGATCTCAGGGAGGGATCTGCACTCTGGAGTGCAGCAGATCTCAGGGATCTGCACTCTGAGTGCAGCAGATCTCAGGGAGGGATCTGCACTCTAGAGTGCAGCAGTTCTCAGGGAGGGATCTGCACTCTGGAGTGCAGCAGATCTCAGGGAGGGATCTGCACTCTGGAGTGCAGCAGATCTCAGGGAGGGATCTGCACTCTGGAGTGCAGCAGATCTCAGGGAGGGATCTGCACTCTGGAGTGCAGCAGATCTCAGGGATCTGCACTATGGAGTGCAGCAGATCCCAGGGAGGGATCTGCACTCTGAGTGCAGCAGATCTCAGGGATCTGCACTCTGAAGTGCAGCAGATCTCAGGGATCTGCACTATGGAGTGCAGCAGATCTCAGGGATCTGCACTCTGGAGTGCAGCAGATCTCAGGGAGGGATCTGCACTCTGGAGTGCAGCAGTTCTCAGGGAGGGATCTGCACTCTGAAGTGCAGCAGATCTCAGGGAGGGATCTGCACTCTGGAGTGCAGCAGATCTCAGGGAGGGATCTGCACTCTGAAGTGCAGCAGATCTCAGGGATCTACACTCTGGAGTGCAGCAGATCTCAGGGAGGGATCTGCACTCTGAAGTGCAGCAGATCTCAGGGATCTGCACTATGGAGTGCAGCAGATCTCAGGGAGGGATCTGCACTCTGGAGTGCAGCAGATCTCAGGGATCTGCACTATGGAGTGCAGCAGATCCCAGGGATCTGCACTATGGAGAGCAGCAGATCTCAGGGATCTGCTGCAGATCTCATGTTCCACTTGCTCTGCCCCACTTTCACTGTCTCCCTGGGTGTTCACTTGATGTGTCGCAGCAGCTCTTCTGACCTGGGCAGCTCCAGGTCAGAAGTCAGCCTCAGAGAAGCCTACATCCCCTGGCCACAGAACATGCAGGCGGATTTTCTATCCCGTCAGAAGTTGTTTCCACGAGCGTGGAAGCATCCAAGCGAGCTGTCTATGCTAACAAGTGAGCGGCCTTTGCTACCTGGTGCCATGATTAAGGGTGGGATATATGCCTTGAGGCATGTATCAATGCCACGCCGTCCTTCCAAAAGACGGATATCCTTTTTGTTTGCTACGCTGCCTCACGGAAAGGTCAAGCACTTTCTAAGCAGCGGCTTGCACATTGGGAGGTGGATTTGATCTCAAAGGCTTATGCCTTGTAGCACCGGAGACTGCCAGCAGGAGTCAAGTGCCATTCTAAGAGGAGCATGTCGACCTTGTTTGGTCCCATGACTGGGAAGCTGTTGGACTTTATATGCGATGCGGCCTCCTGGAAATCGCCTAGTACTTTTACTCGGGTTTTACAGGGTGAACGTGGCTGCGCCCCAACCCCTTCAAGGAATTCTGGAGCAGCATATCTCTACATCACATTAAGGTGGGTAGTGCTGTGGTTGTCCCTGGGATGTTGCCGATTCTTTATGACCTTGTTGATATGAGTCATCCAGTGCTTGAAATAGAACAAACGTTACTACTGCAACCACGGTTCATTGAATCCCGGATGAGCGGAATTCTTGCTTTTTGTGAGAAGGTTGAGATTGAACGCTGGGCGCCATGTGACTATATAGTCATGTGGGTCCCTGACAGGTCATGGGTGACTGTGTTGTCAATGCGCAAGAATGATCATTCAGTGCTTGAAGCACTGCCTGTGGCGGTCATCTGGGATTCATAGAACCGTAGTTACAGTAGTAACTTTCATTACACCATTGCTGAGCGGACTTGCCATTTATGTTTTAGAAAGGGATTTTAAAAAGGGATTTCTATTTGAAATAGGCTTCAAAAATTAAACAAAAAAAGTACCATTAGATCATCAAGCTGAACACAGCAACTGCATTTAATCATATTTTACCATTTACTGTTGCATTTATTGGTGCTCTCATGGAAAATACATAGGTGGAAATTGAAAAAATAACCTTCAATAATACTATCAGTTTATTTTAGGGAAAAGGCTAATGTTAATGGTAGCACTAATTAGCAATTGTATTATTTGGCAAATAATACAATTCGATGCACGTCTATGATTTTCTGAAAGCTTGAAGAAGATTTTAGTGACATTTTGTGTTGCATAGATTTAGATTTAATTAACTGAAAACTGATTAAAAGTACCAATTACATAATATCTGAATCTGATTGGACAGTCTACAGCTGGACAAAATGAAAAAGAGTCAGCGAGAAAATTAGTTTCTGTTAATTCAATTTATGTGGATTTGACATAAAAGTTTCAACAGTGATCCAGGAGCTGCATTTTGGAGTAAAAAAATTATTTTGGTCTATAAGGAAAAGGCTTTTCTACCTTGGCTCCCGGAGTTAGCTGTGGCTGTAAGCTGTTTTCTACTGGCTGCTGGGGAAGTGGCTCAGACTGCCAGGATCTTATTGTACTCTCAGTCTCTGATACTCTTTATCAGTTGCCAATAAGAATGATCGATCCGCCATCATCATCATGGCAATCCTCACTACGGCTGCAGGTTTTCCCTCTTCGTTTTCTTGCTCAAAACAGAGCACCACTGTAAGCTGTGTGTTCATTCTACAGGTAATCTTTTAGATACAGAACAGAAACCACTAAGCTAAAAACAAATTACAAAGTGGATGCCACTAGTCGCTCCACTACCCAAGCTTTGCATTAATTTTGCAATCTTACTAATTTTGCCGCTACTCTGTTCCGCTTTTCTTTCACGGTTATTTACGCAACTTCATTTCTCAGCAACAAAATACAGCCTGTCGTTATTTATTGAAGATTTGAGATTTCCAAAAACAAAACAAAAAAAAACTTTTTTTTATACAATACACAAGTTCCTCAGACTGGAACATTAAAGCAACATTTGCAAGAAAAGTGGCTTTTCCAACTGTTTACAATTGAGTTTTTATTCATCAGCTGTAAGAAACAAAGATGAAAAAGCATGAGTGACTGTAAACGGCCCCCACCTGGGGTTTAATGAGCGGCGTTGACAATTCTTTAAGATTTCGGAAACTCAAAGTGATTTAGAACTTAAGTTCAAAATTTTCAAGGACATTAACATTTTCCAATTATGAACAAACATTATACTTGACAAATTGTTGCTGACATCAAGGCCTTCAAAAAGTATGCAACCCCAAGCCAAGAACCATTCGCCACAATTGAGGAACCTACAATCATGTCGTGAGATAGAAACACAAGGCAGAGTGAAACAGCATGAAAATGAAACCAAATGACATTATTTACATCCTCAGGTTTAAGTCAAGTACTTATTTTCAGCCCTATTAAATTAAACGTTAAATTCAGAAAGTAATAACAGACAGTGAGAAGAGTTTAGCTGCGACACTTTCGCTTCCAACTAAATAGAACAAAAACTTATCAAGAAGGCTTTTGGATATTTTTTCTCATGATAGTCTGCATTAACTGGAGTTCTTCAGAGCACAATGTTAAATATCAGAAGTATAAATCACCTCATTTAAATCCATAAAAGCCAAATCAGAAAGATGCTGAAGATAGCAGTGCTGGGTTTTGTTCTTTATGAGGAACTGCAATGCATTATATCCTGCACTAAGCCTAATGGATGGTTTTATTTCAGTTGGTTGGAAAAGAGTGAGATTGCCCAGGCTGCCTTTTGTGCAAGAACCATCACTAACTCAGCACAGTGCTTCTTTTTAAACAAACACTTATATGTTAGTTGAGAATTTGCATTTTTATTTATCCAGTGACCTTAATAATCAAATAATTAAGCAAAGTATCAAGAGTTCATAAAGATTCCATAAAGCCTTTGATTATTATACAGTTTTAGTTAATTTAATGTATAAAGTCAATTGCTTAAAACAGTCAAGACATTATATATGTGTTTATGTAAATCCACGCTATAAACTTTCAACACATTTAAAACAAAAATATTCGATACCTTTAAATCCAGTTTTGTAACACTGTGACACAAAGTTCCTGAGAAATTAACATATTAAAACTGCACATTACCCATTTCCATGAGCCAATCGAGCTGAATTTGCAAACAGAACCAGGTTGGTTTTTTGTATTTAAAACGGTGGAGGTAACTTCCTCAACTATAAATCTTTTGTCATTTTCATATATAGTATGAAAATGAGATGATCTGTATAAATCATTTTTGACGTATCATTTTTAAATGTAAATAGTAGCAGTTGTATATATTTTCAAAACTCTGGCGACATGGCTGCCTCATTTCCTATCAGCAACAAGCGTCTTGGTCTACTTAAAGTAATTTTGTAACCTAAATCTGCACATGAAGTCAGTTTCTCAAAAGTATACCCGTTTTTAAATTTGCGTGGGTGTTTTCAGAGAAGCAAAGTTGTAAATGTATGCCGTTTTGGAAAGGGCTCCTAAGAAAAGACTTTGCATTCTAATTCTAGACGATTTAAGCATAGAAATGTCATTCAACATTTGCAAGTTTTCTGGATCAATTTTGCATAAGTAAAAATTCTTGCAGTAAAATATTTAATTTACTCCTTAAACTGATAATAGGAACGCAGAAGGTAAGATAGTTAGCTACAGAGTTAAGCTAATAAAATATGTCCTTGTTGGCCATTTTGATTGATCACTTTTCAATCAATTTGAGGTGCAACAGTGGCACCAATGCTTCCATTTGTAACTCAAACAGTTCATACAGATGGGATGTGAGTTTTGAACAAACATAATGCAAAAAAAATTATACCAAAAAATGTGGAACATTATTTCACATAGCTACAAAGCTAGAATTACATGTTCAAAATATGGTAGGCCCAAATTTGTTCCCATATCACCTGTTTTCAATAATGACACCATAATTTCAAACTATTAAGAAGAGAGAGCTTAGGGCTAAGAATCACCAAAAGACAATGGTGCTATAATCAGTAATACAAACTTAAGACTGAAAAAGTAAAATAAAATATTTTGGCATTACTTTATTTTCCATCTCATCAGCACTCATAAAGAAAAAAGAAAGGTAAAAAGTTTGGCATCAGCACTTGAAGCCACGTTTGTGCATTTCAAACGACACAATGCTCCACGTGGGGGAAGAGGAGGCGTCTCCTAAACTTGCATTCAGTAGTTCTTATGATTATAAGGCATTGTTACACTTATCGGGATCATCAGGATTTGAGGGTGTTGGATCAGATTGTGCAAATGCATCACATATTAACGAGAGAATAACAGGATGAAGGGACCAGAATGTTGAATGAAAACATTTGTCTTGTAAATGCTCAAATCCTTTTACAATACACTGTAAACCTTGAGCAATTCTCACACTGTACGTTCTGATACTACGGCTGACCACCTAATTCAACAAGGTGGTATTGTATAATCCTATGAGTAGCAAAATGATACTATTTTCTTTGGCAGTAGTGGTTTCTTTACAGCCATGGAAAGAGAAAAAAAAATGCATTAAACTATTTTTTTTTTTTAATTTTCACATTTTTTAGGCAAGTCACGGTTCCAGGTAGAACAACAGTTTAACTAATGCTGAGCTGAGCGAAGCCCATCAGCTTGATGTCATCTGGTATTTCAGATTCCTCCACCCCAGAAGCCTGTGAAGAGATCAAAATAGGTCAGCAAATATTCACTAAGTTGGATTATTTCAGCTTTAATAAGTACATGTGTGTGATCCTTGGAAGAAAAAACTTGGGAGGTAAGATTTGTAATATTCCCACTATGTTTCAAAATATGTTGATGAGGTTTTAGCAGCTATAAGGTTCATCACAAAGCAAGAGGTTTAAACTACTATCCTTTGAAAATCTGGGAGGAAAAATTTCTCCTTGTTGGATAAATGAAGTATCGTTACTGTAACAATGCAGTTGATAATTTTACCAACATGGGAAAAATGTTTCACTCACCAGTTTGAATGTTACATTTTTATGGGCTTGAGGCTCATCGACTATCTTCTGCAAATTTGCAGCAACTGAAAGAGAAATTAAGTTTCAGTACAAAGAAATGAATGAAATAATGTTGGAAGAAAATGTAGATGTAGAATGGCTTCACTCCCAGGTTTGCATGCTGACCTTACACTGGAATTATTCTTTGCTTTTAAATGCAGTGTTGCCTAGCAGTGTAACTTAAACCCTTACCTCCAAACTTCTTTTCGGACCGAGGCTGGACAAAGATCAGATCTCTGGATCAGAGGAGCTCTATAGACTTTCTCAATGGCTGACATTTCAATATGCTGCATCAATAAATTACCGTCATAATCTATTCTTACCCTGCACTAGCATTACAATCGCCTCTTCAACCAAATATTTGAATAAGTGTAAATCACATTTCTCCAATTGAACCGATCAAAAGTCAGCAAGGTTGTGAAAGAGGCGATTTTTGCATCTTGCTGGGGGGATTTCTCACCTATTACTAAGTCCCTCCCGTCCACCAGACCGGCTGACACCAGCTCCTGGGACACTCCATCTGCTGTGTCTGAAAAAAGCCGTAACATTAGGCAATTCCCACACTGCTTAGCGTGAGAGTATTGATCCGGTACAGAAAGGAACATCTTGTGACACTCATAGGAGGGGGTCAACAAGGACAAACCTAAAGAAAGAGACTTCCACAATATAAAAGAAAGTTTAGCTTCTCTGAGTCATTTGCAAATCTAAACTACACTTACCTCTTCCTGGCATAAATTCAAAGCGGATGTCATTCAGCTCCTTCTTTGAATTTCTGATGAGAAACAAAATTATAAAAAATTAGGCGGGAAAAAAAGGTATTCACAAGATGTTAGAGACAAATATATCCCCCAACAATGAGTTTAAAAGATGTACCTTAACCTTAATACCAAACTAATGGGAGTGTTGATATCTCCTGAGGCAGCTGGGATCTGTTGAAACAAATTTAACAAATTAATTTGAGTACAACTAAGCCAGTAGATGGAAAACCATCTAATTCACTTATTTATGTATTTTTTTTGGTGTCATTTTCAAAGTTTCCTCAAAATTCTCATAACAAATAGATGGAAGCGGAGCTACAGATTCAACAAGGAAGGCTGGACCAAAATTCAAACTCCTGGAAGGATATCCACATGTTTGCCACAAGTCAAACTGTTTGCAAGCAGTTCTACTTATAAAGAAGTAAATGTAAACTCATAAATTTGAAGAAAAAGAAAAAAATACATGATTGAAAACGTCCCATTTAAAATTAATTTGTAATGCTCAAAAGAAATTAGGATTTATTTTCAGTGAGAATAAAACAACTTTTTGCATATGTAAATGTCTTTTTGTAAAAGTTCCACAAAAAAAACAAATAAAGTTGCAAATAATAAACTGATGGTGATCTGAGGAAGACTGACCTGAGCGGGAACACCAGCAGAAGCAGGAACACTGAGTGAGGGGGATGCAGCCGGGGCGGGGGCTTGAGTGTTGACTTGCGTGGGTTGCAGTAGATGTTGGCCTGCAGCCTGAGGTAGTTCAGCCTGACCTGGAGGCATTGGCTGGAGGTGACTACTTAAAGGCTCAGGAGTCTGGAAAATCTGAAAGAGGTTCATTTGGTTGATCCTCTCAAAAACATTTTTTCACAGACTCAAAACCTAAGACTTAAACTCAGAGCATATTGCAGAACATAACGTAAGGATTTCCTCCATTTTCCCATGAAAACCCAAATAAATCTTTTTAAACTTACCTCTGAATTCTGGGGACCTTCCTTCACTCTTGGTGACTGTTGATGACAGACAGAAGAAACGTCAGAAGAAATTTATGGAGACAGCTTTTCAGAAGCAAACAGAACGGCAACAATAACTAGTAAACACATCAAAACGGATCACTCGTTTACTTTCCTCAAGGATGTGTCCATTGGGCTTACATTTCCCTTTTCCAACTACAGTGAAGTCAAGTGAAGATTTATTGTTGACTACAGAGATTTTATTGCCAAAAATTAAAGGATGTTTATTTTATTGGTGAAATCCTTTCTAATAACATGACAATCTTATTTTACTTTATTTTGTACTTGAGAATCCAAACCTGTAAACGAGTGACGGCACATCTTGCACAATTAGATTCAGTAGAAGAAGCAGAGCAGAAGTAGTAAGTGGGATTAAAGAAGCCAAAAAGTGATGGATATAGGTTCAAATTTATTTTCTGGAAAAAAGTCCAGTTGAACCTATGAGGCACCTTGTGGCTCAGAAAATAAAAATTTTTGCAAACTTCTATTGATGCCCAATGTAACAACATACAGTATTTTTCATAAACTGTAATCACTTTCCTTTAGTAACTAGTAAATGTAACCCTCTGTCTTGAAAGGAAAACAGTTTTAGGTGTGATCACTTTCCTCAACCACCAGGTTTCAATGAAGGTCTTAATTTCTTATTGCAACATTAAAAAGTTAACCACCAAAGAGACAACCTTGATAAGTTGGCATTAACATAAAAGGTGGAGTGAATGTGGCTGAGCTAAAAGATATGTTTGACAGGTGACAGAAAGCAAAAGTAATAAGACATGACATTTTAATAAAGTCCCTAAATCCAATTTTAAAAATACATATCTATGAATAGGTCTGAAGTTAAGAACATAAAAAAACAATAAATATTATGAAAATCTTCCATGTTTAGGTCTTAAATAGCTTTAAAGAATGTGATGTATTTATAATTACAAATATATATATGTATATTTAAAGTAAGCAATTTCATCACAATTTTGTTAGAGCAATTATTTTGGGCCTCAGGGTAGATATATAAATGGATAAATTTTAAAAGGTGCCTCAAAGGTTAATCAAATTGAAAGGAGTAAGGAAGAAAAAGCATTGTGGACTAAATGAAGGCAAACTGATTCGACTTTTGGGAATACTGTTACCTGTAAAAGGATGCAGATCTAACATTCAACTTAAAATAAATGGCAGGAATTCCAGTGTGCCAACATGTTACCACAAATAAAGATTGATTGGGAATGAATTGGTCAGAGTTCAATCGATTGCTTGAAAATCATTGTAAAGATAAGTAATTTGCTGCTCTCATTAAATTTAAGCAGTGTAAAAACAACAGTGATGGAAGAGAAAAAGAAGTAGAAATACAGATGGCTTCCAGGACAGGAACCTCTCACTGGCAAACTTTAATTTATCCTCCAGCCTATTACTAGAATTGATTGTAAAAAGCTCAATGACTGCTGGTAATTCTGGAAAAACCAAAACTAATGTATTTGTTGTACAGAACTAAACTACATTTTCAGCATGACCAGCCATAAATGCACTGTCCAGCCTGATTGTGTAAGTACTGGCCTAGTTTAAACTTATACCAAGTGTTAAAGTGTGCCTATGACTTATGTCAAGTTTAAACTACACAAAAGTGGAAAATAATTTGGCAACTTTTGAAAGCAACTGGTTGCACATAATTTCATCAGAGAAAAGAGGGAGGAACTTTTTGAAAAAACGTACATTGGTTTTCTCCATCTTTGCAATTATGAGCTATTTGTACTGTTGGTACAAATATTTGTACTGCTCTGTTAATTTAAAGCCCAATAAAATACTTGAAAAGGTTTTGTGTAGACAACAAAAGTTTGAACAAATCAAGACACCTGCACAGCTATCTCACACTAATGGCGGTTGACTGTCTTTCCTGTCTTTCTTGGTTGTGAAGGCCAACATGTGAGAGTCCTTCCTTGTTAGGGCAATGCCATCTGTATTTCTGTGACAAGTGAACAACCCTGGATGTAGGCAGCTCGAGTGGGTGGGCGAAGCGCACTTGTCGCCTCGGGGCACTAACAGGCTTCACCTGCTGCTCCTTTGCGTCAAAGACAACATACAGAGAGACTCACTGGAGAGACAGTGGACAAACATGCTACTGCACAGTCACGAGGATGACAACTTCATCAGAGTACAACGATTAATAGACATGGCATGTGGAGTAATAAAAAGTGTTAGTGTGTGCCTGTGACAGAGAAGGAGGTAGGGTTTAACTCACTCTTAAAGCTGCGACCGCTGCTTTGCCTTCCTCGCTTTCTTCATCGAGCTCGTCATCGCTCCATTCCCATTCGCCATCCTCTGTTTTATGGAGCCGGCCACTGGAACCAGGCACTCGTCGTACCTGACACAAGAATACAACTAAGCTTGACTTCTGAAGATTTTATTGAAGAGCAAGCAGCAAATTCATTGCTTTACCTTACCCTTTTAGATCTCTCTGTTATTGTCGGAGCCCTTAGGATCAACTTCTCATGCAAGTATTCATGGGTCTGAAAGGAGAGAGAATTACTATTTGCTTTAAAATAATAAATGACAAAGCCTGACATCTACTGTTCACACAAGAACAGTAGATATCAGCTGAGAATTGCATCTGAGAAAATCCCACAGGTTGTATTTGGACTGAATGTTTTGTTATGCAAATGAACTTCTCCCAGTTATTGAGACAAGAATCATTTATTTTCGTCTGTCTGAAATAATCCCAAAAGAAGAAATGCTCTCATTAAAAACATGTATCTAGGGCATCCCTTTTTCACCCACACAATACAGCCAAAATTTGAAATAAGTGAACGCAAGGTGATGCAGCAAAACTAGTTAATGAATTTGTTGTTTCCAGCCTGGAATGTCTTTAAAAGGCCTGACAGTTGCATAAAAATGCAGCTGATCTAAAACAACAATCAAGAGTTATGAAAACTTTAAAAAAAAAAGAAGAAACTATACGTGCCATAAGAACCAACTTCCTTTCTCTTATTTTAAAGTTGCCAACAGAGTACAGATTCAACTGCTTGTTGGAGTTAAAAAAAAAAAAAACATAAAACACTTACTTTTGCTTTCTGAAAGAATTTATGCTTCAACAACTCTGATGATGTTGGTCTGAAAAACACCATATGTAAGAATAACACCTACGAACATCTCTGCAAAATACTATGACACATAAAACCAGTAAATTGAAAAGTAATAAAATGACAACTATAAACTTCTTTCCTATTTATGTACAAGCAAGAGTAAATCCACTGTTGTTAACCAAGTACCACATTCTTTATAATTGAGTTAGCTACAACGCCACAAAAACAGATTGATATGGACTGGAAATTTCTCTAAAGAAGTATGTGTTATATACAACTTCCTCATGGCAACACACCGTTTCTCTGGTTCCTTCTGTAAACACTGGTAGATCATCTTCCTGAAAGATTTGCCATATTTCTTCACCATCTCCTTATCTGTCACACCAGTGTCCAAAGATGGTGGGTCATTCTGCAGTGTCAACATCAAGACCTGAAAACACCAGAAATGTTTTTAAATAATCAATATTCTTGTCTTTATTTTTTTATACATAAACAACAGACCATCCTTACCTTCATTGGTGGGTATTTATGATAAGGTGCGGCTCCAGTGGCAAGCTCAATAGCTGTGATCCCAAAACTCCAAATATCGGCTTTGAAGTCATATCCCCTCACCTGAGAAAGCAAATAAAGCACTTAGTAAAACTGTAGCTGAAAAATGTGTAGTACAAAAAATGTAAAACAACAGAAGCAGGAGAGAGACACGTGTCTTCTAGCTGAAAATAAATCCACTATTTTGAGTAGTATGAAGGTTCGCGATGCCCTCTGTGCTGCTGACAAAGTGCTCTTGATACACCCTTGGAAATAGAACAGACAAAATAATGAGAAATTACTTCTTGAAGCAGTTTGATAAGATAAATAAAGAGCATGAAAGCCCCCTAGTGAAGGAAGCAGGCACTACCAATTGATCCAAAAATAGGCTTACTCTAACTGCTGATGTTCAGATCACCATTTCTTTGAATAAAATGGCAAACGTTAACACAGCATAAAATAAAATAACTTAAGGATTTTTTGCTGTATTTATAATGTTTTTAGGTTCACTAATATGAATTACTATTTGTTGTAAACCTTTTTTACAGTCCGCTGTGACTTTTTTTCACGTCACTGTGGCAAACAATTCAAGCCCTTTGAAAAATCTCTTGGTGGTGCTGCACCAAGAACTCCTGAAGGAAACAACAGAAAACCTCTGAAGAAGTCATGAGCACAACTTCCTTATTGACAAAATATAAACAAAAATGGCATGATGTCAGATTTTTACCACCCCTTCACCAAATACAACCTGTTTAGGTTGTATTTACCCAGGATGTGGGTGCTGTCGCTCGCTTGAGAAACAGTCTGTGGTGTTTTTGGGATCCACATATGCATTGTAACTCCACCAGATTTCACCAAAAATGAGACTAAGGTTTTTTAGAAAAAGTTTGGTCTGCATCAGTTTGATTCCCAGAATGAACCGGGTCCCGAGACAAATAACCAGAGTTCAATTAAAGCTGACTAAAGATGGCTGGTATGACTGCACCCTTAAACTCAAAACAGCAGTTTTACCAATGAGAAAGTGTAAAAAAAAAAAAATAAATATTTATTCTTCTCCAACAACTCTTTAGATTGGTGCAAGTTTGGCAACAAAAATAAATAAATGATACTTCTCACACCTTAACAGACAAGCTTAGTGACTCACTGGGAATTCAGTGTGCTGTCTCACTTTTCAGTATTCAATAATTTGCCAAACATGAACTGTGGCACAAAAGGCTGAAAATCTCTGAGGCAAAAGAGCAAAAATGTTTTTATTCTATTGTTATTTGTAGTCACAAACTGCTGTCTTAAATATTCACTGCTATGTGTTGCTCTCTTACCTCCCGCTCTGCTCCTGTCTCTCCCTCACTTTGACTTCCTGCCTCAAGCCCCTGATGTCTCTGAATGACATTAATGTATTTTTAAAAACCATTACATAGTGTAATGTACAGTACTAGCATATGACTTACCAAAGCAAGACAGAGACATATATATATATATATATATATATATATATATATATATATATATATATATATATATATATATATATATATATATATATATATATAGTGTGTGTGTGTAAAATAAAAACTTATTATTTTACACACACACAAAATGAGAATTTTTTACAACCGATTTGCATTATACATCTTATTGCTACCTACTCTTCTTATAGCATAACTTAGCCCTACAGGAAATGTTTTCACTCTTTATTTTAAACCTCACCTCAAGTCCTGTACCTTCCTCTCCTTTTCTTGTCTCCTTACTACTGCTGCTGATGTATTGCTGCTCCTAAACATACAAATGGCTTCAGAGATGCATATCTAAGCTACAGCTGCTGGTTGAAAAAAAATGTTTTAAAAATCAACCCGACATGACTCTTCACCTGTTCTCCTTTCTGGGTCTATTATATTAAATATGATTTTCATTCCTTGTCTCACACCCTGAAGCTCCACCTGGTTCTCCTATCTTTTCTATGAACCAGTTATTCTCATAATAAAATAATATTACCTGTTAAACCTGTTAAAGCATTAACAGGTTAAAGCATATTTAACTCAACTAATTTAAGGACTCACCTCTGTCTCCACATTACATTTTTTTCAACTGCATCACTACTCTGTGTTTGATCATTCTCCTGATTAGACATCATTAGGTATTATGAACATTCAGAGCCTTCACTAAAGGTCTATGGCATGATGCTGTATTACACCTTTAAAATAAAAGCACAAGAGTCGAAAATTTTAAAATCAAGTATTTTTCTCCTCTTTGGTGAAATTCTTAGCTAGGACACATTCCCCACCCAGTCTTTGATCGTTGGGTTCAGAGGCAGGACCACATTAAAAACTGGTTTACTTCTGCTGCAGAAGTTACTGTGCAGGCTCAGGAACAACTCCACAAGTCAATAATGTTTGTGAACCTATTTTACTGAGTAATCCATAAATTCAAAATAAAATTGTGGCATGGAAGAAGATAATGATCCTTCTTCTCTGAGCCATAGCTCCCTTTTAGATCAGACAGAAAATGACAGATGTCAATTTCTCTTTAAATGTGTTGGGAGCACAGAGTTCAAAACCCTGCATCTATGACAGCATGAGGTGAATTAGTGCCTAAGGCAGAAAAAGCCGAGTCCAATTCTTGAGAGTGATGTCCTTTAATTTTTAGATGTATCCGTTTCTCCAACTTACCTTGAAAAATGATTTACCAAGCCTCTGCAATGTTGCATGACATGCTGATGCATCAAATGTTTTAGAGCCGGGATGCATACGAAAGTTGTAATCTAGCACTTTCACGCATACATATTATATTCAGATTTTAGGAGCCCTTAAAGATGATGTTAAACAGCATATTGGGCTTTGTAGCAGCACAGTCTTCCTGCAGTCCACACTTCGCAACAATTGTAAAAAAAAAGATTTGGAACAATGTGAAACTAAGAATTCATCAATTAAGATGCATGATTGTTGATGTTGATGAGCCAGAATCCCAAACGTAACATTCCCTGCCAAAAGTTCCAGAAATCAGTCTATTCTGTTCCCAGAACTTTACCGACTATTGTTAAAAGGAAGGAAGGCTTTTAACAAAAAAGTAAACATTTGTTTTGTTTTTTTAGTTTTGCTTCAATTAACTTCAAAATTACCTTCATATTCAGATTATACAATTATTAATAATTCTGTTTACAATTTTCTTTTGCAAATAAAAAGGTTTGAGATTTTCTATATTTCACAATGTCAAAATAGCAAAAGTTAGCCTTTAACTTTAAATTGCAGACAATTCACAAATAATAGCTTTTCCTGTGATAAATACTGCAAAAGAAAAGACTGCATTCAGGTTATTTAATACTTACTAAATGGTTACCTTGTCACAGATTCCTTTACTTCCTGAAGAACAGTTTTCTGTTTACTACCCGTTTTTATTCTAAACAGTACTGACCTGCTCCATAACTTCTGGGGCCATCCAACACGGCGTTCCCACAAACGTCTTGCGCACTTTGTTTCGGGTCATGTCACCACCTGTAGCTAGAAAGGCACTGACGCCAAAGTCTGAAGGTCAGAGAGACAGGAGACAAAAATAATAATAATGAAGAATCCCAAGCAAGCAGGAAATAGTAGTATTGTCAAGACAGGTGATTTTTCTATGACCATAAATATTTGTTAAAAATGCAAAAAGCATCTGGCGAAAGATAAAAAGAGTTTCTTTATAACTGATGTAGTACAAATGGAGGTAAGTGAAAAATGTTTTGCTGGAAAAAAAAATACCTGCAATTTGCACAGAACCGTCATCTCCAAGGAGAATGTTTCCAGCTTTGAGATCTCTGCAAAAGTAAGTAACACCTCATTTTAGCAAATATCTTACAACACAGTAGCATAAACAGCTGACATTTGTTTAACATCAGAAATAACTGACAATTGTTTTTTTTTTTTCTTTAAATGGCACATAAGCTCTGAATCACAGACGTTGCAGCTCTCTTATTTCTTGCATAGTCTGTCGTTAAAATTTTCATTCCTGCTCTGCCTCCCCTGCTAGTGATAAGAAGATTCAGCAGGGACAGCCGTCTGACTGCCACACGCAGCGAATACTGCCATCTCGCCAGCCAGACAGTGTCGTCATAGCAACAGACTTTTAGAGATAGAGGCCGTCGGTCAAGTAAAAGGCGAGGATGTAATAGTGAGGACAGCAGAAGTGTCACTATTGACGCGTGTCTCTGCTATCCAGCATTTAGGACAAAAAGAGGAATGGATACTCCACAGAATGCAGAGAACAAAACCATCGCAGAGCATTTCAGAAACAACATCCAACTGTTTTGGTGTGTATAAGCATCTTTTCTGAATGGACTTAAAAGTACACCGTTAGAAAAAACAAAGACAGTAAAGAAATCTAAACCATAAAGCAATTTTATGTTGCCACCAGATGGGGGCGCTGGAGCAAGAAAATTGATCCTTCTGCTGCTTCAGAAAAGAGGGAGAAAAAAAAATCTGTGCTAGTATTCCAGGACACATTATATAAATAAATATTGAAGAAACTATATTATTACAGAATCTACATCAGCTAGAAAAGTAATTGCCTTCATGTAAACAAATAACATAAGAAGATTAACGATAATCTCCACAGAAAAGCTACCAATGGGACATCATTTACTGAAGAGATGTTAAAGAGCTCAGATCCCAGTTTAAAGGCTGCTGTATGCTTGAGTGAAGAGGCTACTTTCACTAAGAAGGGCTTCAATAAATTAGCACACAACTAACACGTGTGTAAGCGACAACAGCAGGGAGTGGCAAACACCACAGGGATGAAGGCAGCTAATGTTCCTAACACCAAAAAAATGAGAATTCCCATGTTAAGGAATAGTCAGACAGGGAATGCTACAATACTTTCTGTAGATAGTTGCCTTCTGGGATCTAGATAAAAAAAAAAGAAAAAAAAAGTTGATTACATCCTACATGTGATGCAACATTGATGAGCATTTATGTCTAGACAACTTTAATTACACAGCTGTCATGATGGCGATGATGATTCAGAAGAAAAGGGGATATGGATGAACGAAATGAGAAGACAAGATATTCAGAGCAAGTGGCTTATAAAACCACAGACGAAGCTGTGCAATAGACGTCTGAGCTCAAAATATTTGTTGTGTGTCAGTCTGTCACTGCAGCTGGGTGATACCAGGTTGCATTATCTTCCAGATATTTGCACTTCCTTTATGCGAGCACACTTGGCCCTTAGTAACAAGTAAAAACAGGTCATTTAGGACACCGCCTCAAAAAATGACTGTAGAGGAAACATTCTGGCTTAAAGCATGGTTAGTACAAAATATTTTTTTCTTTTGTATTTTTTTTAGAAGAAAAATAAAAATCATGGCCTGTGAATTCATCTTGACAGTTGTGGTCCTCAGTGAAAAAAGTTCGTACATCGTTGCATTAGGCAGTAAATTTTGTTTGCTGGAAGCAATGCTGCAATAAAAATAAAGTCACAATTTCTCTGTCTACTTTGGATGCTCAGCTTTTGTATGTGGTTTTAAAGTCAGTCATTCATTAGCTGGAGGAAACCTGCAATTTACTTGATGGGTTGAGTTTATCTTGGTCTCCGTGTAATTGAAAAGGTAGATCCAAGTTCACACATTTGCATTTTGAAACCCATACGTCAACAAAAACTAATGGAAAATGGATTAATTCCAATGCTGTGTCATTGAGTGACCCGGGTATGATATTGGGAATGTTGTTGAGGCTGTATAATTAGCATCATCTTAAGAGCAAATATGGTAATTGAACACATCATGGAGAGCAAGACATAAATCATCTGATGTTAAAACAGCCCTAGAGGTTAAGTAAAGAGAAACATGGTAGTGTATCAATGCAAATATGAATATAAATGAAGGATTATGACAGACGAGAGGAAAATACTTGGTTCATTACTAAGCTAATGTTGGAATAGCTTGAAAAAGTGCAAAATGTCATAATGTAGAGTACCATGAAAAGTATTTGCCCCCTTATAGATTACATGTATTTGGGGAGAAAAACAGTTTAGATGAGCTGCTTGGTATTCCTGGCCAGAAAAAGGTGGGACCAGCCAACAACACGCCTACTACACCACATATTCCTCAGACACATTGTATGAAGTTTTGAAGTTATGTCTTGATTTAATAACTATAAAAAGTTTTCTAAGCTGGGTGTGCTTTTTTTTCTTTTTACTGACATTTTTATTTGACATGTCCCCTTTCTGTAATGGTGAATTGCTTCTTCTTAGCTTGTTATAATTCATTGAAGAGGAATGCTGCAGACACAAACCGTTACTTTAATGTGCACTCGAGCTTTAATACTCCACGTTACAGTAAGTCAAAAAAACATAATTTATGAAGAGTGATCAATCCAATCCTGGTGCACTCATTTAAAATCCATGGCGCCTATGGTTCACTGCAGCACATCATATTGCTCAGAGAAAGGCTGCAGAGTGCAGACTCTGTGCAGTCATTAACATTCACAGAAGAGAAAAAGGAGGAGGTGCTGACACAATGCGCCATGTAAGTTCAAAGAAAAGCTGGAGCAGATGGGTTTAAAAACAATCTTACAGCACTGAGTTATTCCAACAGCAGTTGCTGGATGGCATTGATTTTGATGTGTTGATACAAATTAAATCTGAATTCTTACTTTTGGCCTGAATTGAGAAGGTGAGAACTGAACAGCACATGAGTGGTGCCCTCATAAAGGTATGACATAGTGAAATATTAGCCAGCTAGCGGCCAGGTGGGAACAGCCATGGTATGAAACTGTCAGGGAGATTTATCATTCTCATCTGGCAGCCGTGCACCTTGCAGCACCAACAGGTCACCTCCTAAGACATTACATCCCAGTGCCTGGCTCACAGTGTTCCTAACAGGGCTGTAAAAGGGGCTTTATTGGATGCTTTGTGGGCCATAGATAGGCATAAAATAACCTTTTCCATCCTCACCCCTGTTTAAGAATACAGCCTATGGCTGTAAAATGATCTTCCCTCTACATTTTGATAGAGCTTTTCATACTGCTGGATTTCTTTCCTGTGTTCTATTCAATGCTAACACAGATTCCTCTAAAGCATCTCTTCTGGCAGATAATGAATATCAGTAATTTGCTGTTCAAATATCTTTCAGGCAAAGTACAGATATTCATACTCTGAATTGCTTTTGTCAAAAGTGTAAACAGTTTTAATTGGATTTATGTGATAGATCTACACAAACTCTTGTGCAACTAAAAGAAGAGGAAAATGATTAATGTTTTTCTGTATTTTTTTTTTAATTCAGGGTGTCTCTATACAAACTTTGCACATCAAGAGATTGAAATTCATACCAGTTCCTCTTTCACAAATGCCTTAACTCACCAATCACATTGAATGTACAATATGATTAAAATTAATATTTAAATCTTGCTAAAGGCTTAAGCAAATTTAGGTCTGCACTTTGATTGAACCATTCTAATGCAGGGGTGGACAGTCCTGGTCCTCGAGGGCCAGTATCCTGCAACTCTTGGATGTCTCCCTGGCCCAACACAGCTGAATCACATCCTCAGTGCAGGCAATTTCTCCAGAGTCCAGTTAATGACCTAATTATTTGACTCAGGTGTGTTGAAGTGGAAACACATCTGAAAGTTGCAGGAGATTGGCCCTCAAGGCCTGGAGTTGCCCACCTCTGTGGGCAACTAATGCATGAATGTGCCATTCATGTGTACAGTTACCCTACATTCTGTCTATATGTTTAGGGTTATTGACATACATGCTTACTCTTTTACAGTTTATTACAAACCATAATAACAGAAACAGCAAACATTCAAGCAGCTACTCTGATCAGATGAGGAAAACTTAACTTATTGACCTTCATTTTCCTGTCACTCTTCTATCAAGGTTGAGTTTAAGGGTGCAGGACTCAACCTGGCCTCTGTAGCTCCTCCAGAGTTACCTTGTGTCACTAAGCTGTATCTTTGAATGATCCTCTAATGTGCCACCTTGTTGGTTATTACATAAAAAAATCATCCAAACTACAATGGAGTTTGTGGCTGTAACATGACAGAATGTTGAGGCGTGGAAGCCGATTTTCTTCAATTTAACTGAAATAATCTCCTCTTGTTCTCATACATGTAACATAACGTCCACCTGCTGTCAACATTTCGGTCCCCCGGTAATGACTTTCCCAGCTGCTGAGAATGAGGAGGTGAAACCCTTTCACCGCCTTGTGGTAAATACCTCCAGCCGAGGCGGTGAGGCTCTAATTGCTTTCCGGCTGTCCAGTGCTGGATGGAGCAAGTCATGTGACATTGTCTCCCGTCTCCTTGTTGCCGTGGAACCTCAGTCCCTGAGCTCTTCCCAATCCCTATGCCGAGGCTCCACTGCCATAAGAAATTAAACACTCAGGAACATATTTAACTAACCCAGCCCCTCTCCTTGGCTAGAATGCTAATTATTTTCAGTTCTGTGGGACAACCTCAACTTTTCTTTCTCATGAATCAGAGCTACATATAAGAGCCTGGGGATAAAGAGCTCTCGTGAAGACATGATCTTTTGACATTTCCGGACTTCATAATTCTAAAAGATGAGCAGCAATACTGTTTTCATTTGGCTTTTTTTACTTGTTTCATTTTCCCAATGTAAGCTTATTGCCACAGATTTGGTAAGCCATTCGTCCAGAGGCAGAAGCACCCTGCAGAGAATCTTCTCTTCAGTTTTCTTTCTAATTTAAATGCAGTCGACACCGATATTTCTCACATCACCATAAAGGAGAGTGGGCATTTCTAACCTCATATTGTTACTTTGAATTTCTTCAAAAAATATTTCAGAAATAATAAGTATATGGAGAAGAAAATTTTTGGAAGCAGTTTGAATAAATCGTTAAAGGGAATCATTAAAGTTAGGAACATCTCTGCCAAATTGCCTAATGTTCTCAGAAATTAATAATGATTAATAGCAATTAGTTTTAAATCAAGGGCACTTTATAATGTCCCTCTGACAGAATTTTATGAAGCATGTGAATGACTCATAATTCACCACTCTCTCAGCCACCCGTTTCTTCTGAAGCCAGCAGAGTCACTTTGCTTCATTCCAATAATTATGCAGCAAATGTTCAGCTTGAAATTGCTTGGTCAATAAAACCAGCACAGACACAACATTTAAAAGTAAATATACAAGTCACAACTTCCAAGCTTTGCATCATTAATAAAATTATTTCAACACCTCTTCAACCCTCACCCTCTCAGACACTGACTGAAGATTTACTCATGAGTCAAAGTATTATAAAAACTATCTTTGTTTGTTCTGGCAGATATAACTTACTGCTGTTAGTTGTTCCTAATGGCAATGAGACAAAACACAGAGCCGTTTCATCCAAAATTAAATAAAAAAAAAATAAATACTGTTATTAACATAAAATAAACAGAATTTAGAATTTATTGTTTGTCACTGAACAATGTGCAATGAGCTTGAGGACAGCAAACAATGCAGGACATATATACAATATAAATATAAATATGGTGAAACATTATTCATAATATTGTTTATGTTTTTGCTTTGTTGTTGTTTAAAAAATGGCATTTTAATTAAAATATGTATATTAACAGCATGAGTAAATGTTGTCTTTCTGACAGTACTGCAAAGCTGTCATAAAGCCTCAAGGGAATACATTTAACTGGTGTGTGCTTTGTGATAGATACAGAATCAGCAGCATAAACAGCATTCCTATGCCTTTTCATGTTTGATTTCAATACTAATCTACACAGAAATTATCGCTTGCAGTCCTGTGTGTAAAGAAATAAATGTGCCTCAAAAATAAAAAAAGCAACAAGTTCATGGACAGATGATGATGGATTACAGCAATACTTTTTCAATAGGATGAAATAAAAGATGGATGAATAGCCAAGTATTGTTTAGTTGAACAAATTACTTTCCTTGAAAGCCCCTAAGGTGAAGTCCAATAAAATGCACAAAAATAAATGCCGAAAGACCGTTGTGCCACGTTTATTGTGGTCCCAGCATTGAAGTGGGCCTACCTGTGGATCTGGCCGTTCTTGTGTAAGTACTCCAATCCCTCCAGCACATCCTTCAACACTGTAGCTATGCTGGCTTCGTCCAGGACACCGCTCTTGTGCTCGCCACGTGAGATGATGTGCTTGATCACGTCCAGCACTGAGCCTGGTCAACAGACAAGACAAAAACATGAACAGACTTGCACAGATTGTTATTTGTTGAAACTGCACAGATGTGACTGTGGGGGAAAAAAAAAAACTGTCAACACACCAGTGTGGAAAGAATCTTGTTTGATTTATGATCTATAGTTAAGTTAGATGTAAAAATATTTAAGATAAATGTAAATTACATTTTAGAACATCAAGATTTTTTATCCCATCATTGAAAAAAATTTTTTTTTTAAATTGATTTTTTTAACTGTAAACAGAATCATAGCCATTTTGTTTGGTTGTAAGAAACAAACAAAAAGAGCACAACAATTTTAGAACCATGCATTTTATTAAGTGTGAGGTTCAAGAACAACTAAACCCGCTCTGAAAGCTAAACCCCACCCCTGACAAATTTTGAAAAATTCTACCAAAATGGCAGAGCCAAGAAACATGGCCAAGTGTGGGAATGAAAGAAGCGCTGTTGTCAACTTATCCTCTTCACACTCCTTTAGCAATTTTATTTTTTTCAAAAGAAAAACAATTAATAAACCTAGCGAGTCTCTTTCTGTGTTTTTGGAGACGACACTGCAGCTCAGAAATATATGGTTTCAATTGCAAACGACATTTTGCAATTTTAGGCTTATTCAAGTGTCTACATGCAAAATCTGTCCCGGTGTTCAAGGACTTTATACAGAGATCAAGCACTTCCCAAACTTTGAAAACACATAATTGAAATTAAAGTATTTGAGGATTTCAAACACCGGTGTGAACCAAATAATAACAGCCACTTTCAAGTTTCCTGCAAATAATATTTAAATCCATCTACAAGACTCAGATTAAAAGCAATGAATGAATGAATGAATTAATTAAATTCTGGGTTAAGACTTGTGTTTACAAATTGAACTGATGTCTTTGTCTTCAATGAACGCAGAGTCGGGGGAAGGGGGAGACTCTGCTGACTAAACCTGTCGCCATGTCTCCCCCACCCCGGCTCCAGCTTCACAAAGGAAAACTCCCACTGAAAAGTCAGTTTGCCATTTCCTTTGTGCACCTTTCCGAGCAAACAAACGGGAAGCCTCTGATGAGAGGTCCACTATTTGCAGAAAACTGTGCAGCACTGGTGAACAGAGACAAAGCAGAGAAATTGAAATGAATGTGAACTGCCTGACAAGCTTTATTGTGCTACACTGAGACAACAGCATCAACATCACACTGACTGCTGCCTCATTTGTCTGCCTGGAAATGAGTCAGAGGTGACAAAACTCCACGATCAAATTTTCAGTTTTTTTTTTAAACCAGCAATATCTGGCTCAGAGTCTGGAGATTATAATTTAGTTTAAGTATTTTAGGATGTCTTAACCTTCAGCACAGAATTTAGCACTTACAGCATCATAATGCCAGGACACCTGAGACTAGATAGTGTCACTGCATAGCCACAAACTAAACAAGAGAAACTAGAGGGGAGTTTAATGAATTCTTCATGATTTGGCATTCATTGAGCCAGAGACAAGGAGAGGAAATGCTACAGTGGCCTGCAGACATATTCACACTTTATGAACTTGTTTTAACTATAACCTTCTGTCTACTTTGGTAAAATTTTAATCAAAAAAACCAAAGTGATGAATGCAGAAGAAAAAGTATACATGTTTAACAATGTTTGAAAAATCTCATACTTTCAGGCATGGCTGATATCTGCTGACCGCAGGTGAGAGTTGAAATGTAGATAGACGGGTAAATGGAAAGCTTCGCTTTGTGGCATCTGTCTTAATCACAACAGATCTGAGTAGCGCCAGCATTACTGCACATAAAACTCCAATCTGTTTGTCCATCTCCAACCCAATCCAACAATCACTCCTGAATATGGTGCCAAGGTATTTAAACTCCTCCGAGAATGATGTCTAGTCACGTACTCCACATATTTCTTCCGTTGTGGAAGAAAACATTGAGGCAAAGCAACAACAGTGGAACATGAGCTATGGTAAGATGACACAAGAAATGTAGATTTAAGATTTTGCCCTTTTTGTATAATGCTAAGTGTGGCAAGAAAATCAAATAAATCAACATTATTATTATTTTTTGTAAAAAAACATTTGAAGATGTTCTGTAGAATTTGATTATAATGCTTACAGTCTATGTTAACTATATTGACCAAAATGGCATTCTTCTTTTGCACTTTGACAACTCCCCTGGACGTGATTTTAATTGCATCAAGTGTGCTTTTTCAAGATGGTACTTGAATTTTACTTGCATTTTTAATATTCATTATGTTACAATCATGTCTTTATTCAGGAAAGTTAAGCGCAGCAATTTCAACTGTTTTGTAAAGCAAAGTAATGGCAAATATGAAGCTCAAGAATGTGCAACTTTGACTGCAACCTTTCAAAAGAGTGTCACTAAACTGGGGTAGTATTTAGCTAACAACAATCACAAAAAAAAAACATTGTGATTGGAGGGAGTGAATGAAAGCTTTTCACTCTGATGGGACATAATGTGAAAAAAGTTATACTTTTACAAGGCACTGTGAACAAGGAGCCATTCTGCAGGCTAAACACTTTTTTTACTGACTGTAAACAGCAAAGTCCCCTTTACAGTGGCTAAAGCATACGCAGCATGACACAGGCTTTGGAGTCTCACTAAATGCCAGCCTTGTCAGCCCGCTTCAAATTAAACTCATCTGATCGAACTCCTCATGCCTCATTAGGTTGTTTCAGCGAGCTGACACATACTGACGGGTTAACAGTGGAAAGGTTCATTCAGCATGTGAAAGGCAAGACGCCTGCAAACCTAATTTGAAAGCTGCCTTTCGAAAACCTTGAGGAAGAGTTTATATAAATCACAGCAAGCAAATTAAGTCCTGACAGGGCAGAGCAGCATAGAGCATGCAAATACTCTGGAAAATGTCAAATCATAGTTTCAGTTACATGGCGGATTAGGCAAATATTTCGGTTTCTTTGAATTTTAAACAGACCCCAACTGGGCAGAACTTCAAGCTTCATTCGGAAACATCGCCTCCTAGCTGTTTTGTTCTTTTAAACAGAGTGGCAGCTGTGAAACAAAGGGAGAATGGGGGTCTGAGGGGAGGATGCGGAAGGACATGAAACCTGGTGCCAACTGTACTAAAGGCCTTTGTGGAATGCCAAGTGAAGCTGTAGGAGAAAAATGAGGGTGGGGCTTTGGAGGAACTGCAACAAGGCGTGGAGGGTGTAAAAATATCCTTGTTGGCTCAGACTGAACAAAGCCTCTGGTGAAGTTGCATCATTTTCTGAGGGGGTGAGACCAATGTAATGCAGGAGAATGCAAAGATTATTTTCATTAGCTTAGAAAATTTATTCAGTCTTAAAACCAGGAGATGAATGGAAATAACCATAAAGGAAAAAAGACTAATTCTATTTGCCACCCTCTAAAAGTGGAAAATTAACTTTTGAGATCACTTCAGGAGGAATGTATTGAGAAGACGGCGAGATCACATTCAATTTCTGTGGTTATAAAATAGCTGAAAGCTTTGAGTTTCTGCTTTATCATGTGCACCACTGAAAGCCACTCTTTGCAGCGAGGACAAAGCGTTTGAATGTTGAAAACTTTATCAAAATTGAGTTCGACTTTTAATAGTTCCTCTTTTAAAAGAGTCATTAAAAAGTGCAACAGTTCAGTTCTAAAAATCAGCTTATTGAGTTAAAGATCTAGAAATGAAAATGAAGCAAAAGCAGTTGCTAAACTGTGGCCCACTTCCAGGAGGGATATATTCGTCTTATTTGTGTCTATGCAATTTAGAATATTACCATTAAATCTATTATTTGCAAGAATATTACTAAAATGTGCAGTGTGCACCATAGGCAGTGTGCCTATTTCGAGTATTGATTGCATAACCCTAAGAGAGCAGATACAAGGTCAAAATTGTTTGGATTATTCAAGGTCTTTTCAGCCATTGTCTAAACAGTTTTTAGCACTTTTTTTTTTTTTTTTTTTTTTTGCCATTGGCACAATTCCAGCATTGCAAAAACAGCAGTGTGCTGACAAGAGGATGTTGATGATTCTTGATTTTTTCAAATCCATCTGTGTTACATGACAGAAATTTAAAGCTCAAAAGGTCAGAAAAACACCCACACACTGTTTTCCGTCTTCCTGTTATCTATGGAAAGTCTTGCTCTCTCCCACCATTTCACAGCCTAAATAAACCACAGAAATGTCTTAACATTATTCTCACTGTATAAACAGTAAACCCAGATCTTTACAGTTACTCTCACAACACTGAGTAATATGCAAGAGTCACTAATCAGAATTTTTAACCCTGCACTCGAATAGTGTCAAAATACTGAGGATCATGTGTTTTCATTGAAATTCTTCCAAACAAGCATCTGAGTGATATTTGAAAAAAGAAGGTAGTAGGTGAAGAATAACCGCCTGTGATTTCCAGGAAAAGCATGCATTTGCTTATAATGACTCATAATCAGTCTCTCTGGGTGATTCAGTGACTACATCTATGTGAACTCGCACATTGGAGAGCTACGGAGGCTTCTGATGAAACTATTGTTTACATGCCACATTCACAACAGGAATTTTCTGAAAAGGCTTACTGCGCCTATTTCGAAATTCAGCTCTGCAGGTTTTGACTTGAGTGAGTTGTTCAGAGAGCAGGTCAATCCAGATATTTGAGTGAATAGTATGTTAGTCTCAGCCCACAGAGATACCCAGTCTGCTCAGCATCAACATTTATTATAATTCCAGTTCAAAAGATTTGCAAGTAAAGTAAAACAAAAAGATTCTCTCCAGCAGAGATGGTTGAAGTTTGAGCAAAATTTCGCACTGTGCCGACAGGAAAAAGTAAAAAAGAAAATAACTGGGCAAAAAAAAAGAATAGACTACATTTTTTATTTTTTGGTGAAGAAGAATTCAAAAGAGTGAAGTGGGCAGCATTTGTTCTAAGAAACTGCAAGTCTCGAGGCAATATGAGGTATTTTGATAAGTCTCAACTTATACTCATCTGTCCAAAAATCAAAGCTATTGCTGAACTAATCTAAATGCGGTTTAACTCTTTTTTTTTTTTCGTCTTCTTCTTTGAATCAGGAATCAGACCTGAAGGAATGCTCCTTTCTGCCATTCTTAATATTAAAGAAAAAGTCTGAGCAATGTCTGACTGACCGTTGAGCTGCTTTTCAAAAAAAAAAAAAAAAAAAAAAGAAAGAAAAAGACCGAAGCTGGGATCGGTTGGAGAGTGGACAATCAGGCACGGGCTGTTCTCCCTGTAGTCTGGTATGCTCTTCCCTGTGGAGTGATGCTCTATAAACTCAACCTTAACGAGGTCTGTTTCCATGGCAGACATCGCCAAGGCTATCATTTAATTACTCCACTCAACAAAGCTCAACATCAAGAGCTTCTGTTTAATGGGGATAAGAGGGAACGAGGCCATCTTAGGTTGCGTCTGCTCCTGCTGTGAGGCTGGCTGTCGGCTCAAGCGTCGCTTGGTGGGCATGGCGCCTTGAGCCCAGCTGTGGAGCGGCTGCCAAGGGACTTGTATGCAAGTAAGCCTGGTGGGCATGAGCCGTTAGAGCGGGACAAAGTGAACGCAGGGATGGGCTGAGAATGTCAGCAACAGTTTTCATACTTCAGCGGTACAATCGCACGTGTTTTGTTTGGAGTACGTGTGGCAGACCAAACCAATGAAGTGCATGAGCAGGAGGAAATCAACATTCATCTTTTTTCAAATGAAATTTGACATTAATTTTGTATTCACTTTAAGACTTTTAGTTATTACAAAGTCTTAAAGGATGTCTCAATGTAGTTCTGCTTCATTATACACTACTTTGTCTTGATCTATCACATAAAACAAAGATAATTTACACTTAAATTTGTCTTTGTAATATGAGAAAATGTGTAAAAAATAAAAGGGGCGCAGCATGAATACTCACGCCTCAGTGAAAATCAGAAAAAATATGCATTTCTGACAGACACAAGCTTGGGGGAAAAAATTGCTTCATAACTAATAGGAAACCACAACTAGAGTCATATCACTCATATGTTTTAAATTTAACAAATAAAAACAAAACTAAATGATGCAAATAGATGGAACCATCTGATTTTGATGATCTCTTCCTTACGGGGGCCTCCGCTTCATGCTCCTCTTACTTGGTAATTACAGCACTGCCACATGGTTGCCATGTGGGCTGTTATTACCTCTGCACTGTCATTAGCTCTGAAACAAGTTAAAGACCACAGAGAGCTGCAGCTCATAGGGAACACAATGAAAACGTGTGTCGTCGCATTTCCTGTAATAACAGTTAAATCACAGGCAGCAAGTCAACCCGCTCCTCTGGCTGGCACCCTATCGTCACAAGAACGACATCTAAAAGAATCATCACATTAAAACCAGCAAGACAAAGTGAACCATCCTCATCCTCTTTACATACTGCAAAATATATATATATATATATATATATATATATATATATATATATATATATATATATATATATATATATATATATATATTTTTTAATATATATACATCATGTAGCCACCTTGCCAAATCAAGGACTTTGATTTGGCAGACATGAGATAACAAATGATGTTCACTTACCCCCACTGAGCAGCTTCATAACCAGCCACAGTTCATCCTTCACAACAAAGGACGTGTAGTAAGACACAATGTTGGGGTGGTGGCACTGGCTCATGGCCTGAATCTCTTTCTGTTAGAGGAAGCACAAAGACATCCATGTTAAAAAATACTCCATAAATCATGTGAAATGTCTTGGCATAAGTCATCATTCAGTTATTTACATTTTGAAATCAGAGACAATCCCTAATCCGAACATTTCTCACAGTGTATAGAAAATCACACTATGTAATCAGATCATTATGCTAAAATACTTCTGAAAGTAAAATACAAAGGGAAAAAACAGAGCATATGCAGAAACTTTTATCTCTACGCTGAAAGACTACTGCAAGAGAGAAATAAACCAAATCCTGAAAGCTTCTGCTTTTCTTGAATGTGATGTTTGGGACTGATGTGACATCAGTAAGCAAAGGAAACCTGCTATGTCACTGCAATGCACAGCTATGCAGAGGCATAAAAAACACTGCCAGGACTTAGCTCTTTAAACAGATTTAAAGCTTTGTTATCGCGTGTATTGATACGTGGGTTGTGTGTGTCTGCCTGGAAAGCAGCAGAGCTGAGGTAATGCTGGCATAGCAGACCAATTCATCACTTTACCACCAAACCAAAAGTTGTGAAAATGCAGCTGACTTTTGGCAGTAGGATCACTGATTTGAAGATGTTTTGTTTTTGTGTGTGTGTGTGCTGGAATACATGATGGATCTAATGGCTAAAGAAAAAACAGGTGGTGATATCAGATGGTTTAAATACCCAGTTTATTGTAAGGCCACAATAACGACAGTCAGAACTGGTGTGACTGATCTAGGTATGCAGACCACTTGCACATAAAGATTTTACTGTCCTTGAGCTAATTTTAGACTAATCTGATGGCATGCTTAGCATCAATGTTCATTTGAAAGAGCCATTAGTCTCTAGCCTTTTAGGTCTGGGTGATATTTAGAGATGCTGCTTTGATTTTTTTTACAGTAATTTTCACTCAATTTGCCTATTTTCTAAAGTGTACCAGATCCTCATCAGTAAAAACACACAATGTGAAGCTGCTACTCCTGTGTTTCACTTTCTATTGTCTAAATAAAAACCAAGTTCAAAACCTTTTTAGATTGAAGAAACAATGCTACAGTGCAGTACCACCAGCCATGTACATAACATAACATTAACTTTATTAATGAGTGTATATGTTTTATATTATTTATTACTGACAGATTCATGCAACTCTGGAAAGTTACCACATTTTTCCTAATTTCAGATTTTTCTTTTTTTGTAAAATAATTAATTTAACATAACAGGTGCACTGAAGGCCTGAGAGGCATTTTAACTCTCAAGCTAAGCAGACTTGTTAAAGACATCAGTCAATAGATGTCTCTGACAAAAAAAAAAAAAAACTGCATGTAATCAAAGTCAGACACTCAATCAGCATAAATGCTTAGCTCACACATTGTACATTAGCTGCAGAGCAGTTCTGCTGCAGAGTCATCACTATTGAAGCTGTGGCTCTCAGTCTGGCACTTCAATAAGGAATCCCGTCAGCAGGATAACTTTATGATTCCGAGTACACAAAAAAGTGCTACAAGTTAGAGTAAGACAAAATAAGGTTGAGTACAAACTGAACATTTATCTCTTAAATCTTCATGACCTCTCGGTCTACCCCCACACACAGCTGTAAAGTGACAGCTGTGCGAGAAGATGAACCTGGAAACATAAAATATGGAATAACAGGGAGCTTATTCTGCAAAGTTTCCTATCTTTTTACATTTACACTGAGAATGGGACAAATTATTTCAAAATAAAACTAATTTATTTTGAAACAATTATGAAAATGATACTCTTAATCAAAATATCCTGCATTATAATCTGATATTTTGGCATTCTTTTAAAACAAAAATGTTTTATTATAATGACACATGTTCCCACACATCCCATCAGTGTTTTTATGCAGTTTTTGTTTGATGGGTCAGTGCTGCAACAACTGCTCTGAATACTAACCCTGACATTCCCAGTCTTTCCCCATTCATCTTACTTCGAAAGTAAAACCAGACACACCTCTCTGTCTCTGCACACAAAGACGTCCACACCGCAAACAGTTTGCTTATCTTTTGATTAAATTATGGACTCAAAGTCATTCATTAACTTGTGTAACCTGATATGCTGTGAAGGCCATTAGGACAAAGTAAAATGACCAACTGTGTCCCACTTTTGTTGTCAATAGAGACACAAAAAAAGTATTTTTAAAGAAAAACAGAACATTTGATTCCATCAAATTCTATCATTTTTAATTTATGTTTTAAAATAAAAAACTTAAATTATCATCTTTTGACCTAAGAAACAAGTGATCAGACCTGAAATTAGGGTGTAGCAATAAACCCAGAACATTTAGAGCCACATAAAAATAATGACTAAATCAGCCTTCAATAACCTGAAAAACATTCTCAAGGCCCAATATTCCAAGATTTCAACCACACGTTGCATCAGTGTCTTCACAGGTCTTCATAAGAACTCAGAAAACTGCTTTCTTGTTGCTGAAAATTTGTTATCCACAAAAGTCTCTTCTTTTAAACTTATAGAAAACCACTATTGGCATATTACAAACATTTTTATTCAATTAATGTTTGGTTATTTCATCCTTTATGTATTACATAAACCTTTCTCCTCTATATTTCTGTAGCATTTATTTTATTATTGTGCTTCATGTATGTTTATTTCTGACAGATCACCTGACTGCTTTGATATCAATGACTTCAATAATGAAACATGGATTCCAGTTGAGAAAGTGGCAGGTCCTGCTAAAAATTAGCCCCTACCTAATCTTTCTCAATAATCTCGAGACATCTATCCTACACAAACACACGACTCACAGTTAATAATATTTGTATAGCCAAAATTAAAGTTCCATGTGATTTGAAAGTACAAATGCAGGAAGACAATCAGCCTTTAAATTAATGTTAGCAGGGCTGAATGCATGCGAGATGTGTTTATTTTCATAAACAGAACTGAAACTGACCGATTGTTGCAACATCGTGTTGTGTACGATGACAGAGTGCTGCAGCCTTTGAGCCAGTTTAACCTAAAAAAGATCTTCCCACTTCTATTTTTCTCCAGCAGAGCTCTTTAGATCTATTAAAAAGCTGCCACGTCTGAGAACTTTGAAAGTGAGCGGAAAATAAATGATCTATTGTAGCAAACTGAATAGAGTGCAGGGTCACAAACTGGTGCAACAGAACCATAGAGATGGCACACACACAGAGAGGCCTCTATAGAAGCAGTATTACATCACCTCTGGTTACTCAGAGAGCCTCACATCCACTATGACTCAATCCCTCTGCAGCTTCCACACATGCACACACACAAAAACTATTTGGAAATGAAGAAGGTGCTGTACTACAAAATATTCCAATATGTACCGAGAATATATAATCATATAATTATAAACAAAACTGGTCACAGAAATTATTTGAGAATCTAATCGTTCTGAAGATAGCCCAACAGTTTTTAAATGATGATAAATTAAAAAAAATACTGATTAAAAATAGGAACACAGTGTTGCTTTTCTGTCCATCATTTGAACAAGGCAAGAGACCTATGCAATATAAAGGCATGCTGTCAACCAAGAAACTGTCACCAACCATAGATTGACTGCCAGTAACTAAGCCCCGGACCACTATGGTTGCTGGTAACACATTCAAGAGCGTCAGACTTCAATGTGCCGCTTCCTCCCGGTTAAGAGAGTGCTCTGAGTATTAGGAAAAACTAAATGACCAGAATAAACACTTAAGTACACCCACCTGGCAATTCTGGTTGGCATTGTGTCAGCAGATTTGGCCCTTCAGACAAAATTAAAACATCAACGCTAAATCATCAGTAGTCGAGGCAACCTCTGACTCAGATTAGTGATTCAAAGAGCGCCTGATTTGCTTCCGCTTTGCGTTCAAATGGAGAAACTATTTTTTTATAGTTGGACAATAATAAGGACTGTTTTGAAGTTGAACAATATTAATAATTGTCCTTAATAATAATTACTCTGTAGCCCTAAGATTGATGTGGAACTTTAATGCTGACTAGTCATTTTATGAGAACTGAGACTTGTTCAGATTAAACAACCACTTCATTATTCATCTTCTGATATCACGTCGAATAGGATTTTATTTTACTTCTTTACATTTTATGTAATAACTCATTTTAATTTCATTGAAAAAAAACTGTAAAACAGTCACTTGCAATCGATGTCCTGTCAACACCCGAGCTGTGAATCTCTGCATATCCACCAAAGAATTGAACACCAATCTCTGAATTGTTCAAAGTTTGACACATGGTTTAGAATTTAACCTGCTTTAAATTTCAACACAACTTTCTCCCTGGCCTGTCTGCCATATCCCCTTTTCTTCGTGATACCGTTTATTCTCTGTTTTCTAACAAACCCTTCAAGCTTTCAGAAAACAGCTGGATTTATACCGTTACATACAGTTGGACTGACGTAGCTGAGTTTTGAAGGTGAACAGTTGCACTTTTTATTAACTGACATCAAAGCACATCACAGTTCTGAGACGTTAATCTGAGTTCAGACACTTTAAACTCGTGTGTCCTTTTATTCCACTACAAAATTATCCATTACTCTGTGTTTGTTTATTACATAAAATCCAAGAAAATATATTGAAACTTGCGATTTTAACACGACTGAAGGTATAAAAGTTTTGCCGGGCACCATAAATGCAAAAGAACATTTAAATATTGCCACCTTTCATTTTAAAAGAAGTGCCCATAATATCTGCTCTACTCCATCCTCCAGAGCACTGGCCTGGTATACTATCATACAAGAGAAAAACAAAAAAAGTAGACCCAGAGCGATGACATACTATTGCTTCTCTACCATCAAAGAATTTCAGAGATGAGACTAAATACCTGCAAGCTCTGGCAAAAACTTTCTACTACTACTTTAAAGCCTACTTTAAAGCAGGGTTCTTGGAAGGGACAATCTGGCTTCAATTTCGTGCCCCTTTTAAGTGGGCACCCAGCGCACTGTGGAGCTGTGGGAGGAAAACCACAAGCAGGAAATCCGATCGCGCAGTACTCCATGTGACCTCCTCCACTGAGAATCTGGGAGCAACATTCCCCTGATTCATTCTGCAGGATTCAAGGGGGTGGGGAAGGGTTTAGTGTTGCCGGTGAGTACTGAGCAGCCTGGCTGCCGTTTTCTCCGGCCATGATCTTCGAAGGATGCGTGTTGGCTTACACAATATTTATTTCCTGTGAGATCCTATCTCGGATTTCTGGTAGAGTACCTGGAAGGGCTGTAAAAGCACATTACTCATCCTTCTCTTAAAGAGAAGGGTAAATTTAACTTCTGCTACACTATAATACCTCAAACTACACCTACTTCAATCACAGCATCATATTTTGACACTCATAAGTGATAAAAAGATTGATTTTGAATAGAAAAGACTCTTCTGAGCCAACACAATTAATTACATGATGGTTTGATAAGCACAGATGAAACCACTTGCTGTTCATGAACTGGAGACACAAGCAAGCATTCGATTATTTTTAAGTCCAAAAGAACGTTTATGAAATGGGACATCATGTCACCCCCTCTGGAGCTAAATCAGCCGCATATCGTTCAGTAAAATACGCATTTACCTGCAGTGCAACACTGGTTTAAAGTGCCTGGCATGAAGACGCAGCAAAGCGCTGCTGTGAGAGGCTGCTCCAGCAGTTTGCTGTCTGTAAGTGGAGCTCCACTTTAAGGGAACAACTGGAATAGTGTCGAAAGTGACAGGATCAATTGGAGGCATGTCCAGAGAAAGTGAGTAATGAGAAGCCAGGGTAGAATAAATTCCACACACATACAAAGAATACAGATCTCTTAAACTAAATCTAAAACTAAAATTGGACTTAAGAAAAAGAACCAACTTACCAAGAGTTCATCCATACTGGTCTGGCACTTCTCTAGGTTGATGCGTTTGATGGCGACCTTCTCCTTTCGGGGTGTACAGTAAGCTGCCTGGACCACTGCTGTGGCTCCACTCCCTGGGAAAAACAAACAAACAACAAACAAACTTATAATTTTTCACCTACTTTTATTTCAGCAGGAGTCTCTGAACCCAGAGCGTTATTTAATACATTATGGTACGAGATCTCATTAAAACTTTTAGTGGCATTATTCCAACAGTTAATATAAGACGCTATAATGACAGTGACAGTGAGATTTTCACTTCAGCTGAGAGGTGACAAGATCCAGACCACAGTAAGATGCACCAATGCTTCTGATGAGGCTTTTTTTATGTTGTCTGGGAAATTGGTCAGTCTTAGGTGTTTGAGCCCTACGATCCCCCTTTGCTTCATTTTCTCAAACTATTTTCTCTCCAAAAATATAAAAACTGTTTTCAATCTGTCAAACATCACCGCTAATGTGGCAAACTAGGGAAAGGGAAGTAATGTTAGAAAAGTATATAGAAGCAAAGGTTGACACTAGAATACAACTCTTCATTGAGTAAATATGGATAAAACTTATAATGCACTGGAGGCACTAATGATCCTTTTTAATTTATGCATTCCTTATCAGATTGCATATTTATACACAATCTCTCCTAAAAACAGCATCACTGCAACAATGAACCAAAGTGATATCTAGTGGATTGTCTTGCAGGTAAATGCAAACTCCCTTTGTGTCTGATGACACTTCTGGACAGGTTATCAAAAATGACACAGTAGTAAATCCTGCTGGATAAATTATGCAGTGAAATACAGTCCACTGTGAGCTTCAAGGTTTCGATTATTTAACTATAACTAAGTGACTAAAAATACAACAGCTCGCACAATTTTCATAAAACCAAAGTAGTCAAGAAAGTGTACAAAATCTATTACACCTTTGATTGGCAGGGTGTTGGTCCTGTTCTGATTATTAAATGTACTTAAAATGCACATCATTCAAGTGCATTTGAATAAGCTGCTTAAACTGTAGAAGCAATTTAATTAAATAGTGTGTTTCATTTACTGCTGAGCAGCAAAAACAAGCTTCATTAAAGTTACTATTACATTGTTATTAATAACAAAAACCGTGACCAATAACAGGAGCTCCTTCAGTTAATTCAACAGGATGCACCACTCTATATTCCTCCAGCCCAAGTCCAAAAGCATCACAAATGGAAGATCTTAATCTCATTTTGCTAACATGAAACAGAGTTCTATTCATTTAATCAAGTGTCATTTCGACTTACATCTCAGTCAAATCTTTACGTCCCAGATGGATGATTAAACTACAATACTGCAACATCATTTCCCTCACAAGTTAATTTCAATATGGTTCAATTTGATTCAACAATAACATACAATTGTTGACTCAATGGTATATATAACAAAGTAGCTGATAAGGAAAAGAATCAAGGTGGTCAGACCTAAACCTGATCATACTGCTGTGGTGAGATCTTTGGAGAGCTGTGGAGAAATGAATGAACACATAAAAAAAAAAAAACGATGCAAGTAGGAGTTAGGTCAAAACTCCTCCACGATGTGGTGAAAGATTGATGAAGTTAAACAGAAAAGTGATCATGGAGAGTTACTGCTGCAAAACAAAGGATGACATTATTTGAAGGAAGCTTTTTGAAGGAAGCGGGCTCTTCGGGTTGGAGCGCCATCTGATAAGAGTTAAAAGCTGATAAAACCCTCTGCAGGAGATGCATGCTTGTTGTTTCTGCATCGTGTGAGGTCAGTTAACTTCCCCATCACAGCTCTTATTTAACACCATCAGCTTAAGGCTATTTTCACTGGGTCTCTGGTAGAAATATGCTGGGAGGCTTCCTTCCCTGTCAAGAGTAAGCTTTTTCTAACTTCATAACTGTAGCAGCCAAACATTTACAAAGTGCTCATTGTTTGAAGGATTTAATTGGTCCAAAAATGGAGTGAGGTTTAAAAGAGGAGTTTTAAAAAAAGCCTGCAGATCTTAATGAAATCATAAAGATGTCCCTGTAGATATGTACCATGTTAATCCAGCCTTTTTTAATCAAATTAAATACGACTCCAGGCAATAACTCAGCACAGTGGAAAAAAAAAAAAGGGTAACGTTATTTAAAGAATAAATAAATAAAAGACAGGGGGTAAGAAGAAATGCTTGCTGATTCAGATAATCTAATAAAAAAGCAATTTCCTTGGAAGATCCAAACAGTAAGCATTATTTATTTATTCCTAACAACATTTGAAAAATGTAAAACCTATTTCCTAAGATCACAATGGTCTATTCTTCTGATTCTGTCCGACTGCCATTCAACAGAATTATCAATACAAGAGCTAATGGGCTGTAAATTTATCTCCCAGCTTCAGCACCGTTAGCCAGGACAAACACCAAACGAGCACCTGGAGACGGGCCACTGATGGGACAGAACCACAGTAAGCCTGTTTTCCTGTAGCACTGGTTGTAAAAATCCTTCACAACAATGAATTGGAATGTTGGACTTAAAGGGCTCTGAATAGTCAAGCCAAACTCCCGAAATCAGTCCTCATTGTCGCAGCTGCCTGACGGAAATCACATCATTTTGTTCTCAGACTTGCTCCTTCTCATCACAATCCCCCCCCCGGCGAACTTTTCGCCCCCCTAAACATGCAAATTTGTTGTATGGTCGGTCTGAATTTTATGTGTGTGTTTATTTATGCAGGCCAAAAAACTATGCTCAGTACATAAAAGTCCAAAATCAAACTTTTTGAGCTGTGTGACTTTTGAGGCTGCATAATGGGGAAAAATTTACATCTTCAGAGTGATACAAATTCATGCCAAAATTGTATATCTTTATTACCTTAAATTACAATAAGATACACATGTTAAACTCACCACAGGCAGGATCGAGGCCAGCATCTTATCTACAAAGCTGTCTGGCAGAGACATAAAAGCAACATGAAAAGCAGAAAGTATTTGTTCCACAAATACTTAATTCAATGCTTAACCTGTATTAATCATATAAACTAAAAAAAAAAAACAAAAAAAACGTCACAGTTGATTCTTTGTTGTTTTATGTTCCAAGATTGCAAAAGTTGGTTCATGGTGAAACAGTGACCACATTAAATATTATATCTTGTTTGATTTTTGTTTTCTGCAAGGTCACACAACACAAAGCTTCCACGCTGCTTTGATTTAGTAATACGCAAAGCAAAGTAGAGGCCTGATTTCTTATTTTTATGCAATAAAGTAAAAAAAAATAAATAAAAGACAAAGAAGAGTCGTTGCCAAATCAAGTCTTTTGCTTTTAAATTTCAGAATTTTTTTTTCAAATTGTGCCAAAACCTGCCTCACATGCAGATATTCAGGAAAATAATTTAATAAATGGTTGCAGATCATGTGAGCAAACATGCACAAATCTGTTGGGCAAACATTGCCAAAACAGTTGTGATCTTTTCAAAAAGCAGTCAATGTTTTCAGTAAGCATGGTTTCCTCCAAACAAACCCTACAGAGAACATTGTATCATAACCTGGCACTACATGAGTGGAGCATAACAGCCACAATGTTCTTGACAGTTTCAGCCTCAGTGGCCTCTGGTGAGGGCTTAACCCAGCTAACGTGTTTGGTCTTTGGGGAGTCATCAGTTTGCGATCCTATTATTCTGCTTTTTTTAACGCAACCTGTTGTCCGGGTAAACAGCATAACCCAAAGAAATAATGAACAGAATAAAATCTTAATATACTGGCTTAGTAAACGCATTCAAAGGAGGCACTTAAAGACCATTATAAGAGATAGAATTTCATAGGAGGATTACAGAGCACACACAGGATCACACAGTACAACGAATCTATCATTTTCACCACAAGAAATCTCCCCCCCCCTCCACACACACACACACACACCCACACACACACACACCCCCACACACACACACACACACACCCCCACACACACACACACACACACACACACACACACACACACACACACACACACACACACACAGCAATATTGCTCAGCAATGCTCAGAAAGGTCTAGAGCAAAATTCAGGTGTGAAACCAGAACTCTATAGCAATACACACAGGCCTCTGTCTAAAAGGGAACAAGTTGAAAAGTTCAAAATAAAAATCATTGCACCACTGGTGACTTGTTTTTCAATAATTGCAGCTTAATTAGATTTTTTTTTTACTAGCAGAAAAATGCATGTAAATGAGAAGTTGGTTTTCATTGTGCTACATCAATAATTTCAAAAAAGTGTTCTTTCAATGCCAACAAAAGTGGTCTGCATTATAGGTGTTGCAAGGTCTGTGCATTCAGAGCTGCAGTCTTGCCGCAAAGCACTGATAGAGATCAATGAAAGGAAATCAGAATGATAAACCTGAAGAGATGCCCAGTAAGATAGGAGAGTTTGAGCAACAATGGCCTTTTTCACACAGACCAAAGAGAGGCAGGTTGGCGTCACATCAGTGCACGTAATGGAATGAGGCAGCATTATTTTGAAAAGCTGAGTGACAACAGCATTGTTGGTCAGAGCAATGTGCTCCACTCTGCACACAAAATGCAACTTAAGTCTATAAAAACATCTGTCGCCGGCCCAGATTCTGTAATTTGGCTCACAATGATGAAATACAAAAGAGACATTTCTAATCTGACTCAAAGGTTCTGTGTAAGAAAGACAAATTGTTGGCAGAGCTGCAGATAACGCTTCTTACTTTGGTATGTATTGGATGACGCATAATGAGTATTTTTGTCATTTCTATTAAACAGTGTGAGGCGTACCAAAAAGGATCAGTGTTCACTTTCTATGTCTTTAACTCTGCAGCTTGACTTATTTTTCCTGGCACAAAAGTCATTGGAACATCTTAGCATTTTACAGTAGAGATCAAATCCAGAGTCTTAAAGGGCTAGGCAGGTCAAATCCTGCAAGATTTATAATCAGGAAAAACATTTTGGACCAATAATAAAGCTTCAGTGCTTTACTTGCTACTTCGTTGATGCATGTTTCATATTTTAATCTAGAGCCGCACACTGTGTTTTAATAATGCATATTGATCAATAATATAGAACAACTTAGGCCAATTTTATCATTTGAATAGTTA